ACACACACACACACACACACACACACACACACACACACACACACACACACACACACACACACACACACACTCCTGACCTTCCTTGCAATGCCAGTGAACATAGCACACATGATCGGTGGTTTTGCCTTTACTTCCAGTTGTAAAACGCAGACCGCCAGCACGTGTGCACGGCAGTTTTTAGTGATCGTGTGTGTTTGAGGAGGCAGGCCGTCATGCTGTTTAAATCTGTGCTCAGCTGTGTTGATAGGAGCTATTAGAATAAAACACAACAGCAGAACCCACCTACCCTGACATATTTCATATCTACTTTATATATGAGATTCTTGTTCCATGCATAAGGACTGGAGAAAAAGCTTCCTGGCCTTTATTAAAGATGAGACGTTACCTCTTTTGTTAATTGGCTGTATGTAAGATGTGTATTACAGATGTGACTCTCCTTTGTCCTCTTTCTTGTACCAGGAGACTCAAGTGGCAGATGCAGACACAAAGAATTCATCCAGCCATCTCGATGCAAAGACAACAACCCCACTTACTAGGATGAAAGTAAAGCCTGTGTGTTTGTGTCTTTGTTTATGCATTTATTCATACCTGTTATGAAAGAAGAAATCTGTCCAGTGTTTGTGTGTGTTTGTGTGTGTTCTTGTTTATGCCCGGCATTCCCAGGTCTGCCTTCCAAGAACCCTTTAAATTCCCTTACATAGTCGCTTTTACAACAGCACTATAATCTGTGTGATGCAATCAACACAACATGGGCATGTTTTGGAAAAGCTGTTTTGTAATGCTATATTTGTGTGTGTCTATGTGGGTTATTGTGTAGTGACTAGCGTATACCACATGCAATACCACGTGTATTGTTTTTTCCTGTCACTCAGTGAAGCAGACGATGACCTTTTTAGTGGTTTGCGTTTTGTTGCTGATAACTCAGGTGACCAAGTTCAACCTAAATTTAAAAAGCATTAACATTTATTTTTGTAAAACATTAACAGCTGTAGATCTTCACTGCTCACAATACCACCCACTGGAGTTTTATGATTCAGCGTAAAATTATTTTAGTGACTCAGTTTTGTCTTTTGTTGTTTAAATTCTGTTGTTTCAAAACAGCTTTTTGAAGTGTTTACACCTTTCTTGATGAATGCAATGCTATTTCTGTGGTTTACATTCATACATACCTTCTAAAGTTATTCAGATCATTTTACTATGTACTATAAATCTCATTGTCTGCTGTTATCTGTGTGTACACCTTTTCAAGATTGGCCACCTAAACCAAACAGGAAATGCAGAACTTCCGAAGAAATCCTGCACCAACGCTCCAAATGCAAAAACAAGAAAAAAGAAGGTACAAGAGACAACCACGTGTCAGCATGAATAATTGAACTGTTGTTTTGGCCTCCTAGTTTATTACATTTAATTTCATATTTCATATATACATTTATAGGGCTTCTTATCTGCTGTATTGCCTTAGTGCTGATTACCCTGAAGTTATCTCTCAGACTGCCTGCGATGCCTAAAGCCCTCTGCTTGGTCACGTGACATGATTTGATAAAGACAATTTGCTACAGGAAACAACAGCATAGTTACTTGCAGAGAGAGAAAAACAGTGGCTTTGGTATGCTGTCTTACTACAGATGAGGCCCGACACTGAAATAGGCAATTAGGGGCAAAAGGGCAATAAAACCTTGGAAAATTCCTGTCTGTGCACGTTTTACAAACTGCTCAGGAATCATTTATTGGAAAGATGTATTTGTAAAGTATAAATTTCTCCTTTAGTCAGTTGAATTGCAAGATGCACTGTTATAAATTATTATTATTTAGTATTTTATCACATGTGCAGTTCAATGAGAGTAATTCTCTTAAGACTGGTTTCAGCTTTGAGACACATCAAAATGATCTTGCTGTGTTTGTTTTGAGCGTAGTTTAAACAAAGCTCTGATGCCATAAATGTGTTTCTCATATCAAAGCTTGTGTCACTGTGAGATAAAAGAAACGCTGACTGACAGCAAGTTAAACTCAGAAGGGTAAAAACATCTGCCGATGAAGGACGTTTTGCTTTCATTCGTGCCCTGCAAAGAATTTTTTGCTTTCTAGCAGAGGTTGTGTAGAAAACTGAAGAGTATTTTTAAACGTTTCACTTCAACCTTCGTCTCTGGCTTCACATTCTGTGCGTGTCAGTGCACAGCTAAGCGGCAAATGAAATACACTTCCAGTGAAGGTTAACGTTCGCTCATTGCTTTTCAGGTTTCTGCTGCTTTGAAGTTTTATTATAACAAATGTGACAGAAGAATTTAGCTAGTGTTTAGATATCGTGTTTAGATAAAGTTTTTATAAAAACTTTGTTCAAAATTGGCTTCATCCAGTTTACATCTGTATGTGACTTTTATTAAGACGTGTTATTGTGTGAAAAATTACATCAAGTCAAATAATCACATGCCAGTAATCAACCCGAGCACACATGCGTACGTGCTAAAGCAGTCTCTGGCATCCTCCGCGTCTGAACATTGGGCTCGCTTTGGCCTTGTTTTGAATGGCATTTGGCCTGATTTTGGCACGCAGACTTGGCAACCCTGATTATCATTAAAAAAGATCAACAATTGGTTCTGTTGTAAAATGCAGCACAGTAATAATTTACAGATGCATGGCGTCCACAAGATTAACTTGATAATTTGTGCTTAACTCAAAGTATTCAGGTGATCATTTTACTGTTTTTTGTCTGAAGTAATATCTGAGTACTCTGTATAAGAGTGCAAGAATGCAACTAGTGCTTATTACTAAAAAGGAGGGTCAACAGGGAAGCCCTCACATTCAAGAGGGTAGAATGATGAAATGTTCATACAGTTGCCCAAAAGACAAATGAAGTAATCTCAAAATACAGTTTTGTGTAAACCAAGCAATCAGCTGCACTTGTTTGCACTGTTGGCTTGTTTTATTTATTTATTTCATCTACTTTTTATGTTGTTTCTATGAAGTTTTAAACTACAAAGTAATAGAGAATGGAAGAAAAAAGTCAAATATTTTCTCTGAAGTCTAGTGCAGTAGAAGTAGAGTTTCATAAAGACAGTTCTCCAGTAGAGTACAGGCCTCAAATTTGCACTCAAATAAATGCACTTAGATACTTTACACCACTAAAAAAAAGCTGTATAGCTTTCCCATTGATGGTTGCTAAGAGCAACAGCATGTTCGACTTAAATGTTCGACCATCAGCAGCAAACTAGTGACGTCTTTTGCTTAGGAGCCAATGAACCACTAAACCCATCAACCTGAACGTCCAGCTGCTGAGTCTCATTACAAAAGCTCACAATATCCCATTCCTGGAAGTCTTAACTTCCTCTCAAAATTAAAATGGTGTTCACAGATAAAAGACTGACCTTAAGAATTTATCAAGCGATTCATGGTCACTTTAAATATTAACTTTTATTGCTATTGTATCCCAGAGCCCCCAGTAAAAACTCACTTTCCCCATAAAGCTAAGCTTAGGAGGGGTTTGGCTTCTTTGCTGCTTAAGAAAACATATTAAGTGTTTGTTTTTTAAATGATCTCCACTCACATATTTCTACCAGAGCTACACCAGGCTCTGAAGTCCTCTAAGGACAAAGTCTTGTCATTCTATAAAATACTTTTTATCAGCCTCAGGTTATGTCTAACAGTAAAAGAAAAACACACCCACCTACTTAAATTGGAGAGCCTTTAATCTGTTTGTAGAAGATAAATCTTCTAGATTTATCATACACCTCTTTTAAACTTTAAACTGTGTATACTTGTGTTTTGTTTGACCAACACATTTATACTGATACATGATCTTTGGACTGTAAAACAAACAGCTGTTACTGGCAGAGTATTAGTTATTCCCTCTTGCTGAAAAAACTGTCACTGTGGAAAATCACAGAAACGCTTGAGTGCTTTTTTTTTTTAATTGGCAGATGCCCGCTTTTCTTCTTTTAAAGCTCAAATGTTTATATCAAGAACCACCATTTAAAACATTCATAAGAAAAGACTGTGGCGATTGTGCAAGCAAGAACAGGTATGGATCACGTTGCACCATCAAGTAAACAGATTTCAGTGAGTAGTTGTTTTGTGGCCAGCCACAGCTTCCTTTTTATTGTAGCAGGTTCAGAGAGAGAAAACACAGAGTTCTAAATATTTCATTTGGCTTTGTTTGAAGTCTTTTGAGATTTTACTCACAAATTATAAGTTAATCCATGATTTAGAAACCAGGTCATATCCTCATTTAGGTTTGTCAGGAATTTTTGGCCTCTTTCGCTCCTGATTTTTGTTCTAAATGCATAGGCCAAAACCAAAACCAGGTGTTTAGCCCTCTGTTTGATTTGTATGGCTGTGCCTTTATTGAGAGATATAACATGTTTTCATGTTATCTTCTGGCTAAAACCGCAGTCACACAGGCCTACAGGCCAGTCAGCAACCCCTGGCCACAAATGGACATTCTCTGACTAGTTGGGCAGTGGTAGCTGGAAGTTGCTAGGCTGTCGCTAGGTGAAACTGATTTCAAAAAGGGTACTGCACCAAAATCCTCTCTACAACACAAGCAAAGTGTAGCTGTTGACTGGAGTTTGCATGGAAGGAACACTCACAAACTACTTATTGAGCAATAGAAAAATCTAAAAAACAAACAAAGATTGCTCACTTTTCACAGTAAAAGTTGCACCATAAACAACACGTTTCTAATGGCACAACTGTTTGCAGAAGAGTCAGTCGCTTCTGTGCAGACCACAGTCTGCCGCTGCAATCCTGTAGCAGCCAAAACATTCACAAGGAGTCAATTTTACAGCAACAGCCAACTTCCACAACTGCTCTCTAAGCAGTAGTGGAATATGCATTTTTCCCTAGTAACTGGTGGCTGCTATTTAGTCACCAACAAGCTTCTAGCACGATTCATTTTAAATTTTTAGCTAATCCAAAACTGAAGAATTGATGAGCTCATAATAGTAAGTTGTTTGTCCATCCTCAATTCGCACGAATCATTGGCTGCTGGTCAGATTTTAGTGAAACTATCACACAATGGTTACCTAATGGGTCTTCATCAAAATTGTGCTCAAGGTCGAGTCACGTTTATAATTTTATGGGCAGTAACTTGTGAATTGTGATGGACTGTGAGCAGGATGACTTTTTGTTTTTGAACACAAAGTTGTTTTATTAAAGACTGGAGAAATGTATTTATGTGTTCATTTATCCATTTGAGCATTGTTAAGTAGTAAAAGAAACATTAAAAATAAACACTAAAGATATCTTTTTATTCAAAAAAAGGAAAATACAAAAGTAGAACATCAAAACACAGAACGTAAGGAAATACAGTAATATAGAGAAACCAGGCTATGGTAACATCTTACCTTTACGAAACACTGAAGTCCATTAACACAACACCCATTTCTACCATCTCTCACCATGACGTCTCCCCAGAGTGTGATGCAACATGCTTCAATCCTTTGCTAAAAATAAGCTGATGTCCACGTTTATTTTCCCCCTTTTCCTCCCCTGCAGTTTTCCTGTGAACGACTGATTTAGCTGAATCAATCACAAAGCTCTGAGGGGCAAAATCCATACCAGGTCTAGCTAAAGAAATTTGTTCGACTAATAATGTTCCCAATGATCTGCCCATTAAGTGCATCAGTGACTAAATGTCTAAATGGGTTGCTGCATCCATAGATTATTGTACAGCCCATTAAGTTAAACCCCAAAATGGAAATGTTCCTCTGATAATTGGTACAAAGATCAGCTGGCACACGCTCATCTAAAGACAAGCCCATTTTAGTGTTGGATATTTCTGGCCCTTATCGATAGTTAAGCTAGTGTCAGACCCATTTGATGCTCCCCACAGCCAACCAGCTATTCAGCTTCAGTGTGCATGAGCAGCGAGTGCTCTCCACATGAGCGAGAAGAAAGCTCTTCGGCACGTTTCTCCTCGGTTTAGCTGGTCGTGACTCGGAAATGAAAAAGGGTAGTTCTCAGAATGTGGCTGTAATTAGGTTAAGATTCTTTTCCTATACAACAGTTGACGGCTCACGCTGTTTGTACCCTCTCAGAGTCAGCACGGTAAGGTTTATAAGATAGCTCCTTTTTTCCCTAACCCTTTTCCAGAAGATCCTCGAATGCATGCTTTATGGTTTATAGCAACCTGAGCAAAGGTGTCACGTGTGCATTTCTGTGTGTTTGATTGTACAGAAATGTTATCGGCAGTGTATCAGTTGCCTCCCGTGCTATCTCATATTTCCCCTCACGAGACCTCTCACCTTTCTCTGTGACACAGGTGAGGAAAGGGAAAATTGACGGCATGACTCAAGTGGTCCCCCAACCCAGCCTCTCTTCCAGGGCGCCCTACCACGCAAGACCTTTCTCCATACCGATAGTTTTGCCCCTGACCTCAGAGCTAAGGACCCCCAGCGCAGAAGCAATGGAAGCTACACCCATGTCTCACCAAGCCACCTCGGACACTGCCTCCCACGTCGACCCTCACGACGTCAGCCTCTCTGAAAGCATGAAGGGCCTCAGCAGGTGAGTGTGTCTGGTGTAAATTTAAAAAAAAAAAAAACATTTTTGATGGCTGTGTGTGATTTATGTTTAAAGTGTATTTGTGAATCTTGTTTTTCAAAAGAGTTTAAAAACCCGGCTCATTTACTCTGAAAAATGTGGCCAGCCACTCTTTCAGTTTTATGACTTTATTAGCATCACAGTATAAGCATGATGCTTTATGACTGGTGTAAAATCATGTAACACACACAGCCACACACTTCACTGCTAGATGCCTGCATGACATTATAAGATACCTTATGGAGTGAAATATGAAGGAGGGGCTCTTTTAGTGGTTAATAGTTTATGACTCCTGTATACATATGCGATGTGGTGTTAACCAAAGAACCGGTAGCCTGAGCAGTGTTTGTTTGGCGTGCAGAGCAGCCTGTCACAAGAAGCTGAAACTGGAAACCTCTTGGTGTTAAGTGCCGTCCTGGAATAGCAAGACTGCAGCTCTGTCTGTTGTTGAGGTTTTGCTTTAACTCGGAGCTTAGAGTAGAACTGCGTTCAATTGAACTTCACTCGCTGGCCAAAAATCACTACTATACTAATTAACATTAGCCTTTTTTTTAAACATGCTACTATTTATCCCAGTTTTTCTCTTTATGTAGTGATAAATCAAAACTGCGTAGAATTGGATGCGGGAAGTGGAAAAACTGCAAATTATAAGATATGAGCATGTCGCATGTGATGCTTCCAAGAATTTGGATAAAAAAAGGTGACGACTTTTTATGGCTTCTGTGACCTTTAGTATAACATCAATCAGTGTCTGACTCTTGTCATCACAAGATCCTTTTACGCGTTACATAGAAGTTTAGTTTGACACGCAAACATAGAAACAGAGACAGCCATGCATCCTATGAATGAGCAGAAAAAGTATATGCCCCCTTCCTGATTCTTTTTTTGGGGGGATATTTGTTATTCTTACATGTTTCAGATCATTAAACAGATTTTATTATAAGAAAATTACGTTTGTAAATCATGATAATTTCATTTATTAATGGAAAAAAGCTATCCAAGCCTTGCTCTATGTGAAATATATTCATTAACTGTGAATAATCACATTTGTTTTTTTCGGAATGGTGAGTTCAGTGATACGAAATCAGGAAAAGGGCGATATGTTTTTCACAGCACTGTGTTGCAAGGGTTTATATACATATAGCCAAAATCATGCACTATATTAACCCAGGTGCTGGAGTCAGAAATGCCTGGACTACCTTAAAACCATTCTGTGCTTCCAAGGTGGCAAATGCTTTTGTCACCATGTCAGAGTGAGAATAAATCTTCAGGTGGATTTTCCCCACACCCTAAAATTCTCCTGGTCTACTTGTATCTGGTGGCTGTTTACCGAGTACGTCCATAATGTGCGTCAGCAATCTGAACTCACTGGTATTTAGTAGTAGGCACATGCGATGTGCCAAAAGACTTTAATTACTTCACCATCTCTAATGCAAGAAAGCAGCAGATGCTCTATAGTCGTGTCTAACAAACTGCACTGTGGTATTTTTTGTGGTGTTTATAGAAAATTAATTTTCTGTTATCATGTGAAAAAATGCTTTACCATATAAGTCAAAATGATAATTTTCCACAAATAGAAATCTGTGTTTTCATGTCTGTAGCTGTAACTCATGCCGGGCTGGCAGCTTGCTCTCACTTTCTGTAGGTATGTGTCAAAGAAGTCTGCACCAGCATAGCGCTGCTTATACCACAGCTGGACCTAAACTGTTTTAGATCCAGTTTAGCTGAAATGAAAAGTGCAGATTTATCTTGTCCGGGATAAGTTTGATTAAAATATGCCTAAAAATATGCTATACTTTTTTAAGGGAATAAAATGGTAAAAACGGTAAATGGCCTGTATTTGTATAGCGCTTTACTAGTCCCTACGGACCCCAAAGCGCTTTACATATCCAGTCATCCACCCATTCACACACAGGTGATGGCAAGCTACATTGTAGCCACAGCCACCCTGGGGTGCACTGACAGAGGCGAGGCTGCCGGACACTGGCGCCACCGGGCCCTCTGACCACCACCAGTAGGCAACGGGTAAAGTGTCTTGCCCAAGGACACAACGACTGAGACTGTCCAAGCCGGGGCTCGAACCGGCAACCTTCCGATTACAAGGCGAACTCCCAACTCTTGAGCCACAATCGCCCCCGGAATAAAATGTGAAATCAGTTTAGTTTGCACCAAATTGATGCTAAAGAGAGCACCACATCATCGTTGTTTGTTGTTGTATCATATTAAATCTAACACACGCACCCTTCGTTTCACAAACTGCTCCCATCCCGGGTCTTCTTCAACACAGACTTAAAATCAAAATAATCCTTCTCAGGAGTTCCTGGAAGTAGCTCCACTTGTTGTCCACTTTGCTTTTTTTTCTCTTCTGTATGTATCAGAATCCTCCATACACTAAGTTTGTTTGCCTCCGGCCGTCACCTGTACCTGAAATATATCACATTAACCTGATTCATCGCACAGGCCACTCTAGCCAGCATAGCAGAGTCATGACAAGTTGTTATTCTCTTAGCATTGCATTGTTGCACACTGGTAATGCATACTGGCTTTTCTGTTGAGTTGCCATGGTTCAGTGAATATCATGATGTAACCGCTGAGATTCTTAGAAGCCCGTTGGAAAAAGGTGTGAGTGAGGAACATTGCAGTGTGCTGTGAATGCAGGTTCCCTGTGGGTTAGCAGTATTGTTGGCCGCCTGTCAGGAGGTCCCGTCCATCAGCCTGAACGTCAGACAGCACACACTGTATTTGTAGAAAGAAGCTGCTGGCTAGCTCAAACTGGTTTTCTAACAAATTGCATACTGGTGTATTTTTTTTTTTCCAACACTCATATGAGACAGTGGCCGTCAGCTGTCACTCACACTGTAAGTAAATGTAAATATTTTGCTTGGCGCTCTGATCAGATTTGTGCTTATCAAACGAATAACTAATGACTGTCATATTTCATTTGTAAACCATCTAGACTGAGCTTCTGTGTTACCTTAACAGTGTAATAAATATGTACTGAATATAAAGGATATACCTTACAAGCAAAAGCAAAAGGTTTGTGCATTCAGTGAAGTCATGCTACATTCCACTTTATGTTTGCAGCACCCGCTCAAATAATGGGTTTACGTAACTTAATTTTAAGATTAGCAATGCCAAACACAGTGACGGCACCTACAAAGCAATGTCATGGAAAATGTTCACGTCGAGATTTTTAATCGTACGTCTCGTGTTGTTGTCGTTGTTGTGTGTAATGGAGACATTTGGGGTGGGGGGCAAGGTAAACAAGGACTCGGTGAAAGCAAAAAAAATTTCAGCTAAATTTTTTTAGGTGAACATCGGGACTACGTTTTTTGTGGGGGTTTTACACATTTTTAATAATGTTGAAAAAGCAGAGCGTGTCCAAATTGACCAACTTGTTATTAGTAGCTTTCTGCTTAACTCAAAGGGATCAGGCATTGTCGGAGTATGCCTACAAAAGCTTCTTGTTATCCCCTCAGTAAGGTAGTGGGTAAGCAGGATTTCTGCTTTTTTCTTTTGCAATTCACAGCGGCAGTGGCAGCACTATTTTAATACGCTTGCCAGACTGTGTAACACCCGGTAAGAACATGCGGATGTGGGGGAGAAAAAAATTCACCCGTAAAGCTGCAAAAGAATTTGGAAGAGTTATGTAGTTGAAGTACCCCTTCACTAAAACAAGGAGCGTATGCACATTTTCTGTACATTGGCCAATTTAAGAAGACTTTTGAAGCTCAGTAAACTTTGGCCCAATTTGATCATACCTGACTTGAAACCTAAATCCTTTGTTTTGAACTTGTTGATGTGCTGCCCGGATGGTCAAAGTGGTCCGCCTTCACGTCAACATGCCCGCTGCTTACAGTAAGCCAATTGCAGGAACAGCACGTAGCAAAGCAGTAGAGTACTAAATATTGAGTGAATCTGATCCACAATAACATGTGCAAGCTGCTGACTAACTGTGCTTGTTTCAGTTTGATGTCATAGGGTTCATGTTCTTATGTATCTGACACTCATACTGAGATATATAAACATTCAAACGAGTATGTTTGATCAGTTTGCTTCAATCTAAGGATAGGGAACTATTGCTGGAGAGATTAGTGTTGGGTTCACCACACACATTACTTCTCTCTTTTTATAGTATTGAGTTACTTCCTATGTAAAGTAACATTATAATACCATTTACTTCATGACATTCATGCTACTGTGTAACATCACCTGAGATGTGCTGTCAGGTAACTACAGCTACGTCCGCACATTGAAGCAATGCGCTTGTTACATATGACTGTGACGCTGACACAGGAGGAGGTAATTAGCTGGCATTTCAGGATCTGGTTGCCTAGGTCAGTGGTCCCCAACCTTTTTTGCGCCACGGACCGGTTTATGCCCGACATTATTTTCACGGACCGGCCTTTAATGTGTCGCGGATAAATACAACAAAATAAAACTAGTAAACCAAGTTAACGATAAAAACGATAACAAAATAACGCTGAAAACCAATAAAAACCCTGAAAACCATACATTTCACACCTGAGGCTTAACTCTCCAAACAACTCACGGACCGGTACCGGTCCAAGGCCCGGGGGTTGGGGACCGCTGGCCTAGGTAACCCTGTACCGGCTTGAAGTTGAGAAACATTTATCTCGGGACCTGCTTTACATCGCTAGCAGTTGTTTTGCCTGTCGTGGCTTGGAGTTGCCAAATATCATTCACTTTCTTCTGTCTGTGGTCACCACATCACTGCAAATTGCTTCCCGTGTGGACGCAGCTCTAAAAATATAACGTTGAACTTAACGTATTCATGCACAAGGAGAGCATGGACACATCTTTAATCTTTATCTTTTATTTTACTATCACATTATTGTTTCTTTGCACTGTAAATTCAAAATAATGTTCATATTAAACCTGTCAGGTGTGTAGACTGCCATCTTTGTTTTCCTTCCCACACAAACTGAGATTTTTTGTTTCGTTTAGTTTTCTGTTTTTTTGGAGAAACGTGCATGCGCATGAATTTTTGTTTTTTATAAAAACCACTCAGCAAGTTGAAGGGTTATGTTTATACCAATATTGTAATACTAATTAGTTCAGCAATTAGTTTTCCTATTAAATGTCAGATTACCATATTAGATTAAATTATTGCAATGTCTATCTAATAAATCTATCTAGTAAATCTAATAATGATTGTTAACACTTAAAGAGACAGCTTGACTTCTAACTAGCAGCAAAAGTACAAAAGTGCTTTAGTTATTACAGGTTCGGGTAATTAAAGTGTAAGAATACTATAAATAGTGTAATGTACATACAATATACTCCTTTTATAGAGCTGAGTAGAATACAAATACCATATTTTATGGTCAAATTGTATGTTTAGAGCAGCTGTGAGTAAGATGGCAGAGCGGGTTAGCAGTTGTCCTGCAAATTTCCAAATGCCCTTGAGCAAGATGTTGAAATCCAAGCCCAAAGAGTAAACATAGGAAACACTGCTGAGGTCAAGTGCCCTGCTTTTAACAACCATATTTGTTCAAACTTATAAAATTAGATGATCAGATGGTAAAAAGTAGTGACTTATTATTTTTCTCCCTGACTCTCTGTGTAGTTAATTACCTGATTGTTTTGAAATCAAAGTAAAAGCCTGCACTGGATTGCAGTTACAAAACTATCTGCTGTTCCGTTTTTTGTCAGCATTTGGTAAACCAAACCTTTTGTCCAAATGTTATTTAGATCTAAACATAAAACACTGTAAGAGTTGCTTACACAGCTACTATCTTCTTACAGAAACATCCAAATAAAGTCCTAACAGTTTTATAAAAAGTAGTAATAAGTCACAGTGTTTTAAACTGAAAACATGCCTCTTTGTTTCCCTAATTTCTTGAAAATTGTTGATTTATTTGTAAAGTTGATGAATCGGTTTTATTTATTTAAAAGGTCTCATACTAAATGTAACGAACATACAGAAACCTTACTGAGATCTGTCAGGACTTTTTGATTTTTTAAAGGTTTAACATTACAACAGTTCACGTATTTGTACCAATCTTTCTTTTTTTCTTTCCTTGTCTCAGATAATAAAGAACTGAGCTCTGCTTAGGCAAACAAAACCAGGCGATTGTGAAATTTTTTAACTAGGATATGAAAAAGTTAGGCAACCTCAAAATTAGTGCCAAGGTTGAGTTCCTCTTATTGTTGCATAATTTCATCCTGTGTTTCTGGCATACATGCAGCAGCAGCAGCAGCAGTAGCGCCTCAGCCTATATTCCAGAGCAGCACATAGTTCTCTTGGTTCATAATAATTACCCGAGACAAGCTCCACAAAGGCACTGATCTGTAGCACTGCATGGCCATTATTCTGCAGACAAAAGCCAGTCTTGTGCATGTCCTTTTTTTAGCTGCAGGGAAATCTACTGTTGTGTGGGGAAATGTAATGTTTTAATCTCACAGGACTTTGCGCATCCTGCACGCTAATTAAGTCTGTTTGTTTTCATATTTCAGCTCCCAAGATGAAGACAGACCAGTATCTCCTTTCTACATGAGGTAGGTCTCCTGTATATGTGTTAGAAAGCAGGCAGGATGGGAACAGACTGTGTTGTTTTTGATCGGAGGTGTGGGGGAAGTGGCTGCATGCTGCCTCAGTGCATTATCATCAGAAACAATGAAGCTGCTGGTGAGAGGGGTAGCAGGGCAGCATGCACATGCAACAGTTTGCTCGACACTGTTTGGTTATTGTGGCAGAGGCAGCACGTTGTCAGAAACACCGGCCAAGTAGAGGACGCAGCAAAAGACACAGTGTTCATAGACGATGTGCTGATTACAGATACATACGTGGACTCTTTTTTAAAGTATATTTAATGCTGGCAAATATTTTGCACCAGCTTCCTCGTATTAATTCATGCCAGTAAAAAATCTTGAGTAGTTTTATCCTCCTAAATGTGAGGATTTTCCTTTCTCAGCAATGCTTCTTTTAAAAGTCAGGATAACAATTTAGAGATAACTGATGGTGACAGTAATCTTTAGTTGCAGCTGTGTTGTTTCCCTCTGTGTATCTCTAAATGACACAGATCACCTATAAACTCTTCCCATCCCCACTCACTTGTCATGAGCAACCTCTTATTTACTTTTCATGCTCATGCTCACTGTGAGTAACTCCATTTCCTACTTGTCCACTGTCACATACACACATCTAGTTGGAAGCACAGCTGAGCTGTCTGCTGAGGTCTACATGCAGTCTGTCACATACAAAGGCTCTCAGACTGACACTTAGTTGGTTAACCTCAGCCCGGTCAAACTGGATCACAGATTGATGTATTTTATTTTATTTCATTTTATTTTATTTTCTGTTTTGATTTGCCAAGAGCCTCTGAAGGTCCTGGCTAACATCTGACTGTGGTGTAATACTGGATTACCTGAGCGAACGTTCCCGGTTACACAGTGCCGGGATTTAGCTGGCATAAGCTTCAGCTGGGAAAGCTTTGGACTTGTTCCGTTCCCACTTTTTACGCCTTAAAGACCTGTTGACTTTAAAACACCAAAACAACCACTGACTAGAGAAACACATTATTTTGGTCTTACTGTTATTTGCAAAGTAGTTTTCTTAGTTAGGGGCTCCAGGGTGAAGCAATTAAATTCAGCAGTCCTTAAGCTTTTCTACAACAAAGAGTTGCCCTGTTGGATTTTTAAACACAAAAAAATGCACAATAGGGGAATTAAAATGAGAAGACCTGTCATATCGTCACAGAGCAGACTTAAAAGTTCAGCAAATCTTACAGACGCTATAAAATTGGAAGTCCAAATTAATGTTTTGAGTCTGCCTGGAACTATATTTCTTTAGGATTTTATAAAATAATGTTTGTTTTTATCAAGATAAAGAAGATTTGTACTGTTCTCATGCCTGTTTATAAAGTAGAAAGCTAAAGAATTTTTCTTGGATGATAAGACCTCGAGGATTACAGCGTTTGGACAAGAAACAGTGAGCCCATAATGCATGATGAAACCACAGCTTTGTGTTACCAAAGCCAGCATAGATATTTGTCCTTTTGACCCTATCTTTATAGGGTGTGGCTTCATATTTATTGCACAGACATGAGAATGGCCAGTCAGTCAGTATCACCAGCCAGAAAAGAAGGATATTTCATAAACACATTTATTTATTCTTAAGAATTTATTAGTATTAGTATTTTAAGTTTGTGAAGGCGTTTCACCTCTCATCCAAGAGGCTTCTAAAGGTGGATGAGTCCCAGGTATTTAATCCCTTTGGAACAGGTCAATGGATCACTGTTGATCATGTGAGTCATCCCATGAGCCAAGGTGTGAAAAAAGGCGAGCATCACTACCATCAGCGGGGGTTAAGGGTGGAACCACCATGAAGAAACCTTGGATGAGAGGTGAAACGTCTTCACAAACTCAAACGAAGTCCAGTTTCCTTCTTTTTCAATCTCTCAAGACTACCATGACCTGGATGAATGAGAATCTACACGGACATCTTCATGCATGCGTCATTATCACTTCCTCTTGTGTATCAGTTATCGATACACAGGCACTTTAAACACAGTCATGAGCACTGTATTGAGTTTCCCTGTAATTCCCACCCTCAGTCACAAAATGTCAGTCTAATTTTAGGCTGAAAAACTGGTTACCACTTGAACGCATGTTGAAGTGTAACACACCTTGGTGCTGCATAAACCTTTAAGATCATGTTGTCTCAGTCAAAAGTAACTGGAACAAACCTGAGCAAGACAACTGTTAGCTGACATGCAACTTGTTCTCCATGACTCTTCAGGTGTAAAGCTAAAAATAGTAGAACTAAAACAAACGGTATCAAGTTTGTTTGAAGACAAAACACTCATGCCGTGGTTATGGAGTAACAACAGAAATGACTCTCGGTGTACGTTTTTACAGCTAGGCAGTGAAATTTCACACTCACTTTGTTAGTCTGCCGTTTACCTGGGCTTTTTGGCGTAGTTTTATATGTTAGAGTACTTTCTAGAAAGGATTGGTAACTTTGCCCATTCATATCCTGGCAGTGATGTTCCTGTTGCGCTTGTGATGTAATGAGTCGTCCCTGTTTCCCCTCAGGTCTATTTTTCCCAGAGTTCATGGCTAAGAATGTCTTTATTACTCACCAGACAGCCATCCCGTCACATACCACAGTGGTTTTACAGTTACCTCTTCAGCTGAAACCAAGTCAGTGGGGCACTACGCTCTCTGGGAAGTGATGCCATCTTCCTCAGAAACAACACTTCTTATATCACGTGCCAACCAAAAGAGTATTGGGCTCGACTATAGCTGCTAAATATTCAGGAACCAAAATCTTTTGTAGGTAGTGATGCTAAGCTTAAATGTCTAAATCTTTAGACTAATGTCTAAAAACCAATATGGATGGAATGTTTTTTGCTGAATTTCTAACTGGAGTACAGCCCACTGTGTATGGTTTTAATTTCTGATCCATATTTAGTTTTTTTAGGTTAAAAGAAGACAAATAATCATGTGTTACTCCATTGGTTGGCTCCATCGTATCCCGAGATGAATCTGAGAGTCACGGGATCATTTAGACATAAATACATTTTTCCTAGCTTCCTGTAGATCTAAATCTGGATCTTTTTCTCATGGGAGAGCGCATGGAAACAGTTCAAGCTGAAGTCATGGTCCAGGATGAACAGACAGTAGTGCACAACTTTTTTGTTGTAAGCAGCCGCAAGCTAAAAAAAAGCCATGATCTACTGTCATAGTGCTATACTTAGAGCATGGCCTTGGTTTGTTAGTCAGAGTGCCATAAATGTTTCTTGAATTATGACAGTCATCAAGTCATAGACCAAATATGTAATTGACTGTCTTATCACCTTTTACCCCCGCCTGCCTTTTGCATGGGCCACAGCCCTAGAAAGTTGTAGAAAGCTCTAGAAACGTCTGTCGTATTTTAGGCTTTAGTATAGATTGAATGTTCAAAATGGGACATTTGTGACAGCCACTGAATCAACCATCCCTTTAACTTGTCGCAGATTTGTTACAATGTAGCAATTTTCTTAACATGATATAACCAAGGCGTTCAGTTTCTGCTTCTGTCACAACTTCCCCTTTCTGTTTTTCCCTCCGTTAAAAATGAAACTGCACTGAAGAGAAATGTGATTTTGTTTTCAGGAATTTGTATTTGTGAGTAGAGAAACAGAAGATTTAAAAAATCCCATGTGGATTATTTGAATTCCTTATACTTGTGAGTACTTTACAACCTTGTTACTATTACACAGTGCAGCAGGCTTGCTTTTAACTCGACCCGGCATCCTGCCTTAGAGATTTGCTATAGATTTGGTAATATCAGTACATGCCTGTGGCATGTTACACAGCTCCACCACAGTCACCTTCACAGTACACCATCATGCCATTATTATCTCGTCTTTCATCAGCGATCCCATTTCCAGTTGTTATTACTGTCAGCACCACTGTTTATGGAAGATTTCGTTTGAGGTCACCCTCGAACATGTTGAGGAAGCTGCAGTCCAGGAAAAGCAGACATGATGTCGATCGGTTGGTCGAGGCCAAAGCAACTTCCTGAGGAGAGCGGATTTTTCTTTTGCTTTGCCAACTTAGTCACAAGAGTAATGTGTTAACGTAATTATGATCTAACACTTAGCTAAATATGTAAAAAACGGCCAAAAAGAAACCACTTAAAACTCATTCACCTTGCAACCTATAAAATGTGAGAAAATGACCCTTTACATCCAAACCCTACGGTCACAAAAGATAATGTTTAAGACTTTTTATTGACTTGTTTTTTCTCAGTTAGACTTTGTAGGAGGGAAAATACTGAAACATCTAAATATTTTCAGACGTCTGAGTAAAACCTTTTAAAGATGTTTAAGCAGTGGTGATGTAACAGCGGTGTTATGTTTTTTTCTACAAGCATTCAGTTGAATCCAGGTACTTACACAGGTTACAGACACATTTCATGCTGCATATAGTTTACAATCCTATTGCTTTACCCTACAAGTATTTAACAACAGAGGGCGTTAAAAATAAAACCAAAATGAAGTCAGAGATCAGTATAAAGGTCCATGACCGTGTACTCTGTTGCTGGACTTACTGGTAGCCATGGAAGCCAGCCACTTTGCTCCCCAACGATCCATTTAAGCTCTGAACGCAGCTGAGTTTACCACTCGCCCATGCACTTGATCACCAAAGGCCACAACGTGAGCCTCGGGGGGATTTTCAGTGTTGCTCAGTGACCTATGTGACCACTTGTTTCTGCGCATTAAGCTTCCCTTCTTGTTTTTCTTTCAGTAACCACCTCTCGCCCGTCCACTGCAGACCTGGTGTGGTAAAGTAGGTATATTTCTGCTTAAAATAAAAATAAAAAGTAAAAGCTCTTATGAAACAGTGAAGAGGGTAAAATGGTGCATTTCCTTATCTACTCATTGTGTTGCTCCCTGAAGTTTTCTGGACAGGACCATACGCTCAGCAGTGGAGCAGCACCTCTTTGATGTGAACCCCTTAGAGGATCAGCATTCAGACGCCCACGAATCGACCCCGTGCCCTTCACGGGTGACACTAACAGCGAGACAGAGACGTAGGCACCAAAGAGAGCAGCAGCATCAGGAGGAGGGTCAGAAACACAGGGAAAAAAACAGGTACCGTGGGCGTGGCATAATCACGAAGGTGGTAATCGATGTTACCTGCAGAAAGTGGCCTTCATAGTGGAAGCACTACATCGTGTTTCTCCTCATTTATCATCTTAAAGCAAAATAATTGTAATTTACTTGTCGTACTGACCACTCAAAGCACTTTAACCACACGTTCATACAGCCTCTGCCTCGCATACATGGTCAATTTAAACTCACTAGTTTACTCAGCCTGTATGTCTTTGGACTGTGGGAGGAAGCCGGAGTGCCCGGAGGCAACCCACGCAGGCACAGGGAGAACAAGCAAACTCCACACAGAAAGGCCCCGGCCAGGGTCGAGACCAGGGAGCTCCCTGCTGTGAGGCAACAATGCTAACCACTCCACTATTGTGGCGCCCACTTTCATTATGGAAGTCTGACCTCAGAGGCTTCCTGCAGTGATACTACAATGATACTTTCAGTTGATGTTTCAGTTTCAGTAAACAGTGGTGAAGTTTTGTTCTGTGGGGAGAGCTTTAGTGTGCAGTCATAATAACTGGTATCATTCCAGTAAGAAGCTAATCCTTGTTGATGAAGACCTGGTGGAGTCTGAGAGATCAGCAGCACGTGGATTTTGGGGAGTGTCTCAACAGCAGAAAATGTTAATAAGACAGGACAGTAAATAGACTTAGCACAAACACTAAACAGCACATTAGCTGCTTGAGAACATATAAAAAAACGCATCGGGATGACCTAGGGCATTTGGTTTCCAGAAGCATTTCATCCATTTTTAATCTGATTTAAAACCGAGCAAGGCGAGCAGAGAGAGAGTCCGATGGAAGGCAGATGTCTTATTTCCTCACCCGTTTCCTTTTCGTCTGACAACAGAGCGCCTTCCGTCACAGGAGACACCAACAAGGAGAACGTCCCGTCGAGCGGCGGCAGCAGTTCAGGCAGCGTGGGGGAAGACATGAGCAGCCGTGTGGACTCACAGGAAGGCCAAAGAAGTCAAGCTGAGCGAACCCCCAAACCCAGGAAGCCAAAAAAGAGCCCAACTCTCATGCAGCTAAGCGAGAACACGGCTGCCCACGCAGTGAGTCACACCTTGTACTCCCCGTCTCTTTTCATCTTTATGAGTGTGACATTTTCCCTCCTTCTTTACTATTATTATTATTATTATTATTATTATTATTATTATTATAATATTATTATTATTATTATCATTGTGAATTCATTCCTCTTTTCCCCTTGTGCACATGGCTTCACCACATGCAAACAACTTCTCAAACTAATGTACCAATGATGAATGAAGCATTCATCTCAACTCCCTGCCATCCTTGTTTCTGAGTCACCGCAGATAATTGCCTATTGCAGTTGACAAGAATCACTAAGTGGAGGCTGTGCAGCATCCTAATGGTGCTCTGCCATTAGACACCAGCTTGTAATGTGCAACATACAAGCTAATTGTTGCCCACTCCTTCAAACGTAAAGGCCAATTATGAGAGTGCAGTTAGCCGCTGCTTTTATCTGTTTTAGATGTCATGTGGATACATGAGTCCAGAGGTTTCTTTAGTACTGAGTACTTTTTAAAAATGTAGTAAAATACTTCCTGACAGCGATTCTTATTCGGATCATTAACAACAACGCAAAAAGTGACAGGCAGCAGGGAATTAAATTCAGTGGAAAGAAAATTAATTATTGATTTAAAAGGGCGGAAGCTTTGGCTGATTATAGCAACAGCTGTGTTTCAACAAACAAAGAGAAAATATTAAGTTGAAAATAAAGAAAAAACCTCAAAACAGAAATGTTTTGATGATAGTCATACACCAGTTCTATGTTTGTTGGCCACTTTATTTATAAACATTTTAAATACGGCAGTTTAAAAAAATGTATTCTGATCATTTGTTTGTTTATATTCTATGTTTTTTTTTTATAAACACAATTAGCTCACACTCAGTTTTAACAATATAAAAATATTGATTGCATTAGATCATTGCTTGATTCTGAATTAAGCAGCAAGTTTGCTTTGTAGTAGCTGAATGCAGCAGGCGTTTCATTTAATTTATTTATTGAGTTTTGGAGTTTACTGCTACATATATTAACTACATCATAGAATATCTAAGGGTGGGTTTTCAGGATTGGGTAATAAATTGTGGGATTACTTGATTTTTACAGTATTTTAATCAGATGAAGTTAGTCCAGCACTTTTTGTTTTCTGCCATTTGTTTGTCTTCTTTTTTTATGTGAAGAGGAAAAAGTATTTTTGTCTCAAAACTCACATTGAGAGAGAAAGATAAGAGAGAAGGCTACTTCAGTTAGTTAATGGGCCTTTGATTAATGAGCTTTATAACTTTGGCAAATTATTTATAGTCAGTTCAGTTTTTAAACAAGTAAATATATTCAAATTCAAGCTTTTCAACTGTGACATTTTATATGTTAAATAAGTAATTAATTATTTTAATAGTTTATTTAATGGTCTGATTGTAAAAAAATATATATACTCAGCATTCAGGTAGTGTGTGAAAGCCCTCAAAGTCACAGCAAGGTCACGGTGTGTGGCGCTTGTGGCTCAGACTTGTAGTAACCTGATCTCTGCAGACTCTTGAGTACGACTTCACAGTTGGCTCTTAAGTAACTTTTGCTGATGTAAAGTTGAGCCGCACCGTTTCGTCTCATTTAAAATAGCTTTGTTGAGTTTACACACTCGCAGTGAGCAGAATTCGATAAGTGCAGACTGTTTTTAGTTTTTGAGCCTCCATGGCTCCTCCTTGCGCAACAGTACAGATGACACAGAGTCCCTTGACACACATACGGTGAATGCATGATAACTGGCACCACTGTGATTGGACGGTTAGATGACTGTAAGTATCTGTCTCCGTTGGTGGGAACAGCTGTCTCTGTGACTGACTCTTTAGGTCAAGAGTCACTGAACTGCATGCCAGGCGCCAGCTCCCAGATGTCTGTAAGGTGTTATAAAGCAGCATGTTCTGGACTATTTGACTTCTGCAGTTGCTGGGAAGTTCAGATTTGTGGTTTTAAGTGAAATTTCTCAGTTACGTTTTAATTCAGTATAGACTTTGTTTCTTTCAGTGAACATCATCAGGCCAAAATTGATGCCTACCCAAGAATCTTCATGGCCTTTGCTAGATTTTGTGGTTAAGTGCTAAATGGGATAGCGTGCTAAGCTAAGATGATCAGCTGATACACACTGCACTGCTAAAGCATCAGCATGCAGGAGCTGCTAATCTTTGTGCATCTTTACTGACAAGTGTAGGTGACCAGCATGAAAAGTAGCTTTGCACACTCCCCCTGACACAGACTGATAACAGTAAGCCCACGTCAGGTATCACATTCAGTGATCAAGTGGCCTTTATCACATATTTAGGTTTGTCGAGCATGATATAAGCAGTCCAATGAAATAAAAAGCAAAAACAAGATGAGCTCATCAGAGCAAAACCCATTAAAAAAATAAATAAATAAATAAACAATTGCAAAATTACGCCACTTAGCTAATTACAGTTTGAATGTGTGTGGTTTTAATAGTTCAAGGAGTGTGCTGATAAAAGATCTGATGATAACCAGAAACGCAGATGCTCAGGCACACAGAGGCTCTACTAGTTCACCTGAAAGCAATGTTGTTGAGCAGGTTGTTGTTAGACAAGGGACAAGAGTAAGCAGGCTGGCAAAAAAAAAGTGAGCAAACCAAAGGCAGAGTCCAAAAAACAGAGAAGGTCAAACAAAAGAGAGGAAAGTTACCAAACGATGAAACGTCTGAGAAAGGTCATGTTCAAGAGGAGCGATATATGCGCACCCATCTGCCTCTAGATTAAAACCAGGGGAATAACAATGATAATTCGGTGTTCTGCTGGGAAGGCCTAGCATTGATGTAGATGCTGCTTTCACACATACAACCCCTCCCAAACCCCTCGCAGACCATGCGCACTCCTCGTGTTAACTGCAACCTCCCCCAACAGGAAAATCCCTCAAACACAAAGCCCAAGGCATTGACCTGATCTCTAAACTCACCCCACAACCCGCATGACCTGAAAGACCACAAACACTAAAGGACACCCCCAAAGGTCCCGAGTTGATCTGGCAACACTTTGGAAGTTCACCACACACTCTTTGTTTAATAAATATCTAACATGACTACGTTTGTATTTTTATCTTTAAAAAAAAGAAAATAAGACACCTCCTCTATTTTCCGAGGATATCTACTGTTATCTGTCGTCTCCATAGGCACAGTGTAACAATATTTCCTCTTGTTCTGCAAGCTGTGGGCGTCCTAAGGAGGGGCTTAGCAAAGCTTCATCCATTCATTATTTTTTTTAACTGCTTATCCAGCTTAGGGTCACGAGGCGGCAGGGTACACCTTAAACAGGTTCCCAGCCCATCAATAGGCTGATACAGAGCGATACACGACTACACGACTGTGGCCTGGGTCTGAAATTTAAAAATCACTTAAAAAAACAACAACAACACAAAAATCGTAAAAACCACTGGCTTTTATTTTGACCAGTGTGATTTCTCATCAGTGTTTTTTTGGCTGCAGCACTCATTGGCTTTTGCTGAACTGAAACTCCTAAACCGTTCCACAGAAAATGTCACCTTAAACAAAAGGAGATTTTTAGCCTTTCCGTGAAAGGGGATTCCCCCCCCCCCCCCAAAAAAAAAAAAAAAATCAATATTCTGACACAAACAAATCCTTATTTTTTCTGCTCTTTGAAACACCGAGTACAGATTTTAAGTTTAGTGGCGCCGTGGGTGTGAGCATAAGGAAACAAGCCACCTTCTCCATCTGCTCGTCTCCGATTCTAATCTGGACTAGCACACTCATGACATGATTAGCATGACTCATGTCGTCAGGAGTGCTGAACCAATATGGTGGCTCTTTTTCTGAGCAGCACAGATGGATCTTCGTCGCAGCTCGGGCCGCGGCTCTGCCATCACCAACGCACTTGTGCCACAGAGCGGCCATCTGGAGCCGGCATGGCGCTGAACCCTGGAGGCTGGTGCGGCATCCTCTCAGCTGGTGGTTAATGCCCGGGTTGCCACTTGAGCACCACACAAACACGGTTGACCCCATCTACATGCTGACCTCAAAAGTTTCTAAAAGTTGTGCAGTATAGCTCAGCGTGTCGTGGTTACCTGGGAGAAATATTAGCGAGCCAGTCACCATCTTCTAAAATCCAACAATTTGTTTTTATTCCACTGATTTAAATGTATAACTTTCAGTATAATCAGTAGATTATTCCACTAACTGAGGCAGATGTTAGGTGCTATAGTAAAAGAATTTCACTTCCTCTGTTTCACAACTGCTGGTCGATCATTTTTTAAATTCCTAACCACTGCACTGTTAAGCTTAGTGTGCTGGTGTTTTGTTTGTCCCCATAAGTTTGTGTGTCGATGCAGCTCGAGTCCCTGTTAGCTGGCAGTTCTTCAAAACATTTTGTGCCAGCAGCAAAAGAAAACTGATAGTGGGAAGTGAAAGTCGCAGTGTTTTTCACCAGCTCATGTGCACAGGTGAAGCCGGATTCGCTTATAAGACGACTGTGACGATGCCATTACAGTAACTGTGTGCCAAACACAGTAGTACATACTGTTCTGGACGTTGTACATGTTGGCCTATTCATACTGAAAGGATTTAGCCTTTTAGTTGTCAGTGAGTTTCTCTCGACATCACTTGCAGACGCAGAGGATACAAACACAGAGGAGTGCATGGTATTTGTGAATATTTCAATAGCATTAAACCAGCGGAATCAATAGTTCTGCTGGTGGGATGCAGAGTGACTGCGGACAGGTAACAGTCAGATGACAGTTAGATAAAATAAAACCTGTCGAGTGTGGGGGTCTCGAATTTTTGCCTTCCAATGTGTGGCATGCCAAAATATCTGAGAACCGCTGCATTAAATATATGTGTGTGTGTGTGTTAGCCATTGAAACACAGTTTAATCTTTATTGAAAAGATCCTTCTCATCCATTAAACCCCACTAACACACCCACAGCCCACACTATAGCACTGTCAGTTTCACCCCTCCTTAGCACCAGCTGCACCTCTCATCATGCTTTAATCATGAGAGTGGCTGTTCTGGGCAACAATATACTGTGTGTGTGTGTGTGTGTGTGTGTGTGTGTGTGTGTGTGTGTGTGTGTGTGTGTGTGATATTGATCACTGTGTGCAAATAATCAAAATAATAAAGCAATAAAACAATAAATAATATAGTAATAAATATTAATAATAATAATCAGTGTGCTAAATGGGTGTCAAGTAAATGTGAAGTAAATAACAGCATCTCTCTTTTATCAGTTTGATTAGTTGTTCTGAGAAAACAGAACCGGCGCTGTTGCTGCTTCTCATCACATTACATGATAAAAACAAATGAGTGCACACTTCATTTGTCTGATGGCCATCTGCCACACTGGTAACACTTTAGAAAAAGAACATAAAGCACAGTAACTAACAAGGGACAAGTATAGAAGTAATCAATACGCACTGCTACTAAAAACTGCAAAAAAATGATTTTCTTGGTTAAATTACTTTTGAGGAGGGTTCTTTGTTCTCTAAACAAGCCAGCAATCCACAGTTGTAATTTAATATCGCGAACCAGTAAGGAAAACAAGTTGACCCGCCTGGTGCCGGCTGGTTCAAGCCAGTTTTTCAACAGTCACGAGTCAGTTCATCTGTTAAGAAAACTAGCTACTCATGGTAACTAGCTGAAGCAAACCCTTATTTCCCTAACAAGTTTTATTTGTTTTTTGTTTTTGTTTTTTTAGTCTAGTTAAAGTTTCATTTCAAAATAAGTGTTTGAGGGTACTTAAAGAAAGATGTTTCTGTTATCACGAAACAGTACACTTGTATGGGGAAAGTGATAATGGTAGCATGTAATGCTCAATTTGCTGCCAACTATAAATGATACATACAGTAAGCTTAAACAGAGCTTTCTCAGAGCACTGGCTGCCTGCCAAACAGCTGCCAAGTCTTTTAAGTCAAGCCAGTTAAAATTAATTCATGATTGCAATAAATTAGTTTGAATGAACAAGTCGCAACTTGTTTTCCTTACAGCAGAATTTCTGTGAGTACTTTTACTGTCAGCTAATCAAATGTACCAGAACAAGTAGGATGAGCTAATCAGGCATTGAAACCGAGCAGAAGGTTTATGACTCTGAAACATCATTTACATATAAAAGGGTGTGAGGAGAAAAAGGGTGACGTGCTGAAGGCATTCTGGCTCCTTTGGGGTCAGATAAGAAAAACCACACAGTCATTGTTTGGATTTTCACAATTTTGTGTCCCAGTTGGATTTTATTAAATGTATAAAAGGTCTTATTTAGGTCTCACCTTAATTTAAGAGTTGCAAAAAAGGAGATCGTCGGATTAGATGTAACCACTCTCATGTTGTTGCTTTTATGACCACAGGGATTGTTGCGTTTCATTAGAGTTGTAAACACATCCACTGGGACTAATTTGCAGAGCTCATAGGGTGGGCGTGGCTAT